TTGGCGGGTCCGGGCTGGATTCAAACCCGCCACCTTAGGTGTACGTGGCTGGCGCCTTAGCAGGTTGAGCTACAGGCGCCGAGCCTCGAATGTTTATTTCAGTTCAATACACAATCATCAAGATGTGGAATCTCCCCGAGTGTCCATCAACACATAAATGGATGAATAAACTGTGGTCTAGTTATACCAGGGAATACTATTTAGCCATGAAAACGTGGAGACTTTACATCTTTTGTATTAACTTGGATAGAATCGGAGAACATTATACTTAGTAAAGTATCACAAGAATGGAAAAGCCAAGTATTCAATGTACTCAATACTAATATGAAACCAGCAGACAAACAAATACATGCCCATACAAGAGAAAAACATAATTAAACTCACGAGGAGGGAAGGGGGAAGCGGAGTGGAGGATTGGTGCTCTCACCTAACAGGCACAGTGTAAGCAAATGTGGCACACCTTCTGGGTGAGAGGCACATGCAACTCCACAAACACAAACAATGTAGCCTAATTGTACCCTCATAATAATCTGAAATAAAAAATAATTTTTGAATATATTTTTTTATTTTTTTGCACAGACGTCTTTTTTTAATGTTTGGGATTCACTGAGTGTACAAAGAATTAGGTTACACTGACTGCATTTGCTAGATAAAGTTCCTCTTATAATTGTGAAAAAAATTTTTTTTAAAAAAAGACTTCAATGGGTAAGTTGTATCAGTCAAAATCTTCGCAAGAAATCAAATGGTACATTCAAATTGGCTATCAGGAGAGTTTGCTAAAGGGATTACTGACAAAAATGTGGACAGGGTTTAAAAAAATGAACAAAGGATAGAACAGTACTCCAGGGATAACAGAACCTTTACTATCCCAGTTATGGTTTAAATGTGCCACCCACCAAAAAAGCACGTGTTGGAAACTTAATCCTCAATCCAACAGTGATGGGAGGTAGGGTCTAATGAGAAGTGATTAGGACACGAGGGCCCCACTCCTCATAGGAATAAGAGTAGGTTATCATAAGAGTAAGTTCATTATAAAAGTTCTCTCTCCCCTCCTCCTCCCTTTCACCTTCTGCTATGTGACGACAAAGTACAAAGGCCCTCACCAGATGCCAGCACCTTAACTTTAGACTTCCCAGCCATTACAACTGCAAGTCACTCATAAAAGACCACATATTTAATTATAAAAGTACCTATAGTGCTGGGCGAGGTGGCTCACGCCTATAATCCTAGCATTCTAGGAGGCGGGTGAATTGTCCTGAGCTCACAGGTTGGAGACCAGCCTGAGCCAGAGCAAGATTCTGTCTCTAAAAATAGCTGGGCGTTGTGGAGGGCACCTATAATCCCAGCAACTCAGGAGGCTGAGCCAAGAGAATCACTTGAGCCCAAGAGTTTGAGGTTGCTGTGAGCTACGATGCCACAGCACTGTACCAAGGGTGACAAAGTTAGACTCTGTCTCTCAGGAAAAAAAAAAAGTACCTATAGAATGTCCATAAGAGGAAAATCTATAGAAAGTATAGCCGGGCGCTGTGGCAGGCTCTTGTAGTCCCAGCTTCTGGGGAGGCTGAGGCAAAAGGATTGCTTAAGCCCAAGAGCTGGAGGTTGCTGTGAGCTATGATGCCACAGCACTCTACTGAGGGCAACAGCTTGAGACTCTGTCTCC